CGCCTGGGCAACTTGACGAGACCTCATCTCTACAATAAATCAAAAATTAAAGCCAGGCTCAGTGGCTCAGCCTGTAATCCCGCGCCTTTGGGAGGCTGAGGTGAGTGGATTGCCTGAGCCTGCGGGTTTGAGACCCACCTGGGCAGTGAGACCTCATCTCTACAATACATCAAAAAAATTAGCCGGGCATGGTAGCGCACGCCTGTAGTTCCAGCTACTTGGAAGGCTGAGGCAGAAGGATCGCTGGAGCCCAGTAGGTCGAGGCTGCGGTGGCCGAGAGCGTCCACTGCACTCCAGTCTGGGCGACAGAGTGAGACTCCAACTCAAAAAAAAAAAAAAGACATTCTCTCCAGAAGATCAAGCAGACCATTGAGGCTCTTGGAGAAAACAAGCTGTTTGCATCCTTTTAACCTTCACCCCTGCTGCTCTCACCATTCATAATTGTTGATTTACTTGCACCAATAATAGGCCAGAAACTCTTTGTGGTCTTATAGAGGAGACTTCCCTCAATATTTGTTCAATGAATGAGTCTAGTCTGTTTTTCAGCTTCAACGGAAGGAGCAAACTTTCTCCTCTATCAGTAGTTGCCACTCGGCATTCAGTCTATTGCCTCAGAGGTTGGCTTTGGCTAGATGGGTTTCTATGTGGTCAGGGTCCTGGGAAAAACAGATGGTACATTCATAAAAGGTACTTGAAGAGAGTATAGCAAAAAGGCTTTTTACAAAGGTCTGGGCAGGCTAGAAGAAAGGACAAAGGGGTAAAGGGAAGAAATGTTTAAGGAAACCTGAAGAATGCTGTTGCTGTAGGAAAAGGTTGCCCAACACTGTGTGGAATTTAGTCCCTATCAGGTCAGTGTGACTGCGGGTTGAGGAATTTAGCCCCTATCAGGCCAGAGGTCCGCAGGAGGGAGACTAAAGAATAAATACCTAAACATCACTTTTCTTCTGCCTTTTTATCTCCTTTTATAGGCCTTTAGTTATTGCCTCCAATTGGTTGAAAACAAAAGAAAGCTAAAGGAAAAGAGAGTCTGACTGATGCCCTCCACAGAGATCCAACCTCTTGGGGCACAGAGAAGAGTGGAGAAGGTCAGAGAATAAAGATAAGGCCGGGCTCGGTGGCTCAGCCTGTAATCCCAGCGCTTTGGGAGGCCGAGGTGAGTGGATTGCCTGAGCCCGTGGGTTCAAGACCTGCCTGGGCAACTTGGCGAGACCTCATCTCTACAATAAATCAAAAATCACCTGGGCGTGGTAGTGCATGCCTGTAGTTCCAACTACTTGGAAGGCTGAGGCGGAAGGATCGCCGGAGCCCAGTAGGTCGAGGCTGCGGTGACCGGGAGCGGCCACTGCACTCCAGTCTGGGTGACAGAGTGAGACTCCAACTCAAAAAAGAATAAAAAACAAACAAAAAATTTGCTGGGCTTGGCGGTACGCATCTGTAGTTCCAGCTACTTGGGTGACTGAGGCAGAGGGATCGCCTGAACCCAGAAGGTCGAGGCTATGGTGAGCTGTGATCATGCTACTGCACTTCACCCTGGGTGATAGAGTGAGACCCTGACCCAGAGAAATACATAAATAAAAGAAGAAGAAGAAGCCGGGCTCAGTGGCTCAGCCTGTAATCCCATGCCTTGGGAGGCCGAGGTGAGTGGATTGCCTGAGCCCATGGGTTCGAGACCCGCCTGGGCAACTTGGTGAGACCTCATCTCTACAATAAATCAAAAATCAGCTGGGTGTGGTAGTGCACGCTTGTAGTTCCAGCTACTCGGAAGGCTGAGGCAGAAGGATCGCTGGAGCCCAGCAGGTCGAGGCTGCGGTGGCCGGGAGCGGCCACTGCACTGCAGTCTGGGCGACAGAGTGAGACTCCCACTCAAAAAACAAAAAAAACAAAAAACAAAAAAACAAAGAAGAAGAAACAGCTATTGTAAATAAGTAATTAATATATTATCACACATGGCATCACTATATAACTTAGATATTAAATACAAGTTTATCAATTATGTTCTTTTCTCAACACCTTTCCCTAATAAGTGAAATTTATAATCTGACTGCAATTGACAACAAAACTGTTGGTGTGATGCCCGTGTCATTTATTATTAATACTTTCAGTATTTACTTTTTAAAGTGACATCAGGATTTGGGAACAAGTCTTCAAGTGCCTATAACTCCAGTCTAAAAAAGAACTTAAAGATGTATTTTTGAGGATTGCCATCTGTCAAATTTTTTTAAAAATCTGAATAGTGGTTTCTTATTTTCCATTCTCCTTTTTCCAACAAATTGTTCTCAGCAGCTTTCTAGTTAGACACTGAGAGAATATCCTTGAGCATTTATATTTTAGAGGAGCATATCAGAACTCCTGAATCCCGAGAAGATAATTTAAAAGTGTAAAACAAACGAACAAACAGGAAAGAGAATGACAGACAATACATCTCACCACACAGGTGTTACAAATCTTTAGCTGATAGATTTCTAATGTTTGCAAATGTCCATGCTGTGAGGTTTGGGTTTTTTCATTGAAATAAACATAAACAAGCCGGGCTCGGTGGCTCAGCCTGTAATCCCGCACCTTTGGGAGGCTGAGTTGAGTGGATTGCCTGAGCCCATGGGTTTGAGACCCGCCTGGGCAGTGAGACCTCATCTCTACAATAAATCAAAAAATCAGCCGGGCGTGGTAGCGCATGCCTGTAATTCCGGCTACTTGGAAGGCTGAGGCAGAAGGATCGCCGGAGCCCAGCAGGTCAAGGCTGCGGTGGCCGGGAGCGGCCACTGCACTCCAGTCTGGGCGACAGAGTGAGACGCCAACTCAAAAAATAAATAAATAAACAAACAAACGTAAATAGGCCTAGTGTGTTGGCTCATGCCTATAATCCCAGCACTTTGGGAAGCCGAGGTGAGAGGATTGGATTTCCTGATCCCACGGGTTTGAGACCAGACTGAGCAACTTGGTGAGCCCTCATCTCTACAATAAATCAAAAAATTAGCTGGCCATGGTGGCGCATGCCTGTAGTTCCAGCTCATTGTAAGGCTGAGGTGAAAGGATCGCCTGAGCCCAACAGGTCAAGGCTGTAGTGGCCGTGAGAGTGCCACTGCACTCCAGCCTGGGGGACAGAGTGAGACTCCAATTCAAAAAAAAAAAGAAAGAAAAGAAAGAAAGAAACATAAACAATACCTAAGTGATTTGCCACATTGACACAGAGATTATTGTCACTGATTAACTGGAAAAGGTACTAATTCATCTCAGGATACTAATCCTGCTCACCCAAAGATAGGGGCAGATATGGAATCTACTTTTAGAACAAGGGAAAACCTCACCCAGAGCTTCCTAGTGCCCCCCTCTGAGTGCCTCCCTCAGAGTGTAATAACACTTGCCTCCACAACTCACTACCTCAAAACTGCTAAAAAAAATAGCACTAATAAGTCTCAATTTATGAGCCAAAATGCTAGGAGTGCCATATTGCTTTAAAATAGTGCACATATCCTTAGTGATTATGTTTACCTTTTTGTTTCGTTTGTCAAAAGTAACAAAGAAACCTGGCACCTCCTTTTGCTTTTGTCCACGTACTTTATTTTTGCCTCCTTTGCTGTGCCTTAGCATACAGTAAAGGGAGATAGGGAGATGGGTGTCTATAGAACTTTCAGCTCATTCTAAAGGGAACAATGTTGAACAGAAAGGGGATATGTAAAAAGAAAGTGGGTGAGATGACATGAGCCTATAATCCCAGCTACTTGGGAGGCTGAGGTAGGAGGATCACTTGAGCCCAGGAGTTGGAGACCAGCCAGGCCAACTTAGCAAGCCCTGTCGCTTTAAAATAAATAAATAAATAAATAACTGTACCACCAGTGAAGTGGAATGAATCAACTAGAAGAGAGAGTGAAAAACAAATGTTTGAAATAAAATTAAAAGAAAAGCAGGCCAACAGATGAATCTAAGGTATTATGTAAAGGTTGTGGAAAATTCGTGTGCTAATGAAGGCTTTCTTCTTTTTGGAATATTTCCAAACTTGAAATAATTGTGTGTAGTTAACCTGTATCATCATATTGCAAACTGTAAGATTAGAGTTATTTGAAATGTCCAGGCCCTGTAATTTTTCCCATAAAATGTCCCATTGGAAATGAGTACCTTCTAGATTTTCCTAATACTAAAAAACTAAACCGTGTTACACCATTGGTGGTGGTGTTTTAATTTAGAGAGTCTATGCCAGCGGTTTTCCAACTTCAGTGTGCTCAGAGTTTCTGATTCAGTACGTCTGGGCCCGGTCCCGGGGAATTTACATTTCTAAGCTCCCAGGTGCTACTGATAATACTGGCCCAGGGACTACATTTTGAGAACTATTGCTAGGTCACAAATAAAAAGGCTTCTTGAGAATCCCTTTCAGCCCAGGATGAGCCTAACCGGAATTTCACGTCGTTACCGCCCCTCCACCTTAATCTTCATTTGAGGGGTAAGGGGAAGTGAGAATTATGCGTGTGATTTTTTCTTTCCTTTTTTAAAAAGAAAACTCCAAGCCCACGCACTTAATTATCTGGGATGAGGTCATTTGCACCTAGGTCATTTATTTAGGCAACAAGTAGTCTTGCTGGAGGTTTCGAGGTTGCTAGCAGAGCGGTGTGTGGCTCCAGGTTCCTGGGTCTACCTTAAATCCCCTTCCTCTTTCTTTCGTTCTTTCTTTTTTTCTTTTTCCTTTTCGTTTTGAAAGCCTCAACTGCCCGGTCTCTGGGTGTCCCGGTTCCCAGGTCCCTA